AGAATATAAGAGAAACCTCCACCAGAATTATCCCATGGTCTAGTCACCTCATCTGAGAGGTGGGAAAACCCTGTTTAACTCCTTTTGCCTCATGAGGCAGAAGGGGAAATTGAACTATGGTCTCCCACCTTCTAGTTAAGTATCCTAACCACTGGGCTAAAGGTAATTAGGAAGGTTGGCTCCTCTTTTGGCTATCTTGTGTAGAACCAGGTATGCTCTGAGCATCCTACCAGATCAAGCCCTGCAGGTGACATAGGTGCTGCCCTGCCTATCTTCACCTGGTTTGAGTATCATGCTGGGTGTTAGGTGTGAGATAGACATCTGCACACCTGCCTGAGGCAGCAGCACTCATGCTTAGAGGAAGAAACTTAGGCACCTACTGGACCTTTTACAGAAAAAACATAGGGTCCAAGTGTGGGTTTTGTGGATTGCAGTGGTGCCTAAAACTGGGACTTAGCCACCTAAGTCTGGGCTTTAGGTGCCTAAGTGCCTTTGTGGATCCAGGACTAAGTTCTTGGCCTCAGTGACATTCTGTGCTAATGAGTTCCACAATCTAATTACACATTATGTGAAAAGCAGAGCCGTCCCGTCCATAGGACAGACCAGGGCAACTGTCTTGGGTCCTGTGCTTTGGGGGGCCCTGCCCTTCAGGGGGATGCCGGGGGGGCAGGGTGGCCTGAGGGACTAATAGGGGGCCTGGCACCGGCAGCAGGGATCAGGCCTGCACCCCGCACTCACTGACCCAGGCATTTATTTTTTTTTCTTGCCTGCAGCCCCCCCAGGCTCGGACTCAGTCTCTGTGGCAGCAGCAGCGAGCGACCCGTCCCCAGCCCGCTCCGCTCTGCTGGCTCCCACCGTTGCCTGCTGCTGCAGAGTCTTAGCACCCCCCAACCACTAGTGGCAGGGCAGGCTGACCCTGCTCTTTCGCCTCAGATGGTCCCTTCCCTTTTCTGGCAGGACCCTCCACCAGCACAGGGGGCCCCCTCATCCCTAGCACAGGTGAGTGCCAGCCAGTAGTCTCCCTTGCCCAGCACTGGTGTCCCCCCAGTACTCCACACCTCCCCCTCCCACTGCTGTTTCTCCCCTCTCCCAGCCCTGGGTGGGGTCCTCCAATGCCATCTCCAGGCCAGGGACAGCCCTTATCACCCCCCTGCCTCAGGGTCCTCCTTGCCTTTCAGCTCTCCAGTCTTGAGGTCCCCCTCCCTGCAGTACCAGGACCTGGGGTCCCACAACTCTGCTCTCTCTACCACCCATCAGGACTGGGGTCCTCCATCCATCTGCTTTTCTGTCTCCCCTCCCCCTCCCAGCCCCCTGAGAAAACAGATCTTAGAGCCCCTCCTCCATGCTGGAGGGTCCTGGGGTTCCCCAGCACCAGGGCACATATAGGCCCTCCAAGAGCCACCCAGTTCCTGGGACATGGGCTCTCGGTGTTGCGAATGTGTAATTACATTTAAAAATAATCCACGGAAGGTAGCGAGACCATATACACCTGGGAAGTGAGTTTGCTGCAAGGAAGTCCAGGAAGGTGGATTTCAGAATGTAAGCGGTGCGACACTGAGTGTGATCTGTGATTTTTTTTTTTAATTATATGAACTTAATTAAAATTATAAAAAATACAATATAATAACATTATCATTATACAGCTGGGCGCTATCAATATTTAACCTGTGGCCAGCAGTTGCCCTTGAAGTTCACTGTAACCAGATTTCAAGGGACTTTTTAACTTTTCAGTGGTAGAGGATTATAGTTTCTATCCCTGGTAGTTCAGGAGATCCAGACCTTAAACAATCTCTGGTCCCTTGGACTACTTAGAAACATAGGTCATTTCCCAGAAAGACCAGAATATTTCCAGTAAGCATCCTTGGCTACGCTGCGCTGGGGTGAGCAAAGGACCATTTTGAGTTAGTTAGCTAGTTTATTTTTAAAGCAGCATTTCTACTTGGAAATGAAGTTGTTATAAAGGATAGGGTTTTAGTTACCATCGGCCAGGTCTGCACTAGAAATGTTTGCTGGTATAGCAATTTCAGTTAGGAATGTGATTTTTTTTCTTGACCTTTCTATGCTGGGAAAAGTCCTGGAGTAGACAGAGTTACACTGGCAAAAAAGTGCTTTTGTTTGCTCAATGAACCAGTATAAGCTACACTGTCAAAAACACTTCTTTGTTGTTGAAACTGTATCTGCATTAAGGGAGGTTTTGCCATATAACTACACCAGCAAAATATAGACTAGGCCTCACTTATCCTTTTTCAGTTTTTGGTAAACAGATTTCATAGATGGGTACCATGCTTATGTGGTTTGATAGCTATGTGGTGAAGAAATCTGTACTAGGTTTCCCTGTGCTCTGAGATGAGCAAAGTGCTGAGCAGGACCATTTTGAATTAGTTTTAAACTTTATCACATGGTTCTTCAATTTATTGCACACCATTTACCAACTCCTCCTGTTCCACTCTGCTTGATAATCCCAGGCTACTTCCAGCTTTCCAAACCTAGTCTAAGCAGCTTGTCATCTTGTTTTTTAAAAAGCAACCTTTCACAGAAATGTCTCCTTTCCTCAACTGTGGAATTTCTTCACAAAAATTACCCAAGGCATAGGACAGGCACTATTCAGTGCAGTAGTAGTGACAGATTGGAAGCCTGATCTTCTATGGCTTGGCAGAGATAGAAATGGTAACTTCATATAATTACACACACACAAGATTCACAGCTTCCCCCAACACTTGCGTCTAGGAAATTCCCAAGATACTAGACCTTAAATAATAACATTGTTACGCATATCTATTTTTGGACATTTTTAAGAAGTCTCTGATCCCTGTAGAGACAAACTCAAGGTAATTTAGACATTAGTCTTAAAGGCAAAAGTTACATAAAAGTACCCTAACACCATTTTTAAACTCTTTGAAACATTCATTCCTGTTACATCTGCGGCACAGAGAGAATGCACAAGTGTGTGCTTTGATCGACAGGCTTTACTAGAAGAACATAGGTGTTGCTCATGCTTAATGCAACTACCCCACATGCCCCCTTAACATTCGCCAGCCCCCATCCTGTACTACCTATTCCCTGCCAACCCCCGGGAAGGGAAGAGCACAGAGGCAGAGTTACGCCTTTGTCGGGAGTGGTCACTGCACGCGCAGTAGGCAAAGCTGGCAGCTGTGAGGGGCTGTGAGGTCAGGCTAGCTAGGTACAACAAGCAGCTCCCGGTGTGCACAGGGCAGAGCTCAGGTTGCCAGTTGTGGTTGGACGTAGTCCTGGAGTTTCATCACATGACACAATCTTTAATTAAAGATTCATCTTTCATTCCCGGAGCTGCCAGGACAACCCCAGGCAGAGCCGGGGCTGCCTTGGCGTGTCCTGTCCAGGAGCCGGGCTGGCGGTGCCCTGGGCTGCCGTGTGTGAGGGCGGCGCCCCGCCCGCGCGGCTGCAGACGGGCCGCTCGGTGCCACGTTGAGCTGCGCGGGCGGAGCCGGAGCCAGCCCCCAGGCTGCTGCTCCCCCTTCCGCCGCCTCGTCAGGTCACGGCAGGGTGTGGGGCCGGCTCCTCCCCCACACAGGAAGGGCCGGGCTCGGGGCCTCCCCTCGGGTATGAATGGGCTCAGCACCGCCCGGGCCGCTGCGTCTCCCCTTCGGCCCTGGGCCGGCCCGCCCCTCCCCCAATAGGGAAGCGCGTTACAGGCCGCCCGTCGCTGGAGACTGGTACCGCGCAGAGAACTGGCTGGCCGCCTCATCCCGCGTAACCAATCACATGACAAGTTACAGCACTCTGCCCGGATAGCCAATCACAGCCTCAGCCGCTCAGCGCCCAAGGCTTCAGTTTAAAGCCCTGGAGAGGGACTGAGCGGCTTCTGATTGGCTTTAGGAGAAAGCTCTTTCCATTGGATCGGCTCTCGGGGCTGCTAGGGCGGCGGCAACGTCTTTTGATTGGGTCTCTGATTATCTTCGGGTAGGTTCGGCTATTTCCGTAACGGCCCCGCGATTGGCTCCGATGTATTCCGGATGTTTCCGTTCCCGCTCGGTGATTGGCCCCACGCTGGTGAGGTTATTACCGTAACCACGGCTGGATTGGCCCCGATGTGCTTCGGGTGTTGCCGTGCGGGGGCCTCGGGCGGTTTGACTGGGTATTCACGGAGGCTGCTTAGGGCCGTTGCGCAGCGTAGGGCGGCGACGGGGATAGGCGGCTGCGCGGCTTTGGCGCACAGCACACACAGAGCGCAGCGGCGGCAGCAGCAGCAGCCCGGCACGGAGCGGCGGCGGCAGCAGCGGGGACAAAGGGACTGATCCGCGCGGCCGCGGGGGCTCCCGGCAGGAGGCAGCAGCTGCCGGCGCCGGAAGCGGCGCGGGGGGGAGCGGCAGGAGGGCCCGGCGGGTCCCATGTGCCCTGGGCGCCCGGGGGAGCAGCCGCCAGGGCTCTGAAGCCGGCTGAGGAGGAGCCGGGGCTGGGAGCCGCCGCCATGGCCTGTGCCGCCGCCTCCGTCCGCCGGCCGCATTGCAGCCGCTTCAGCGTTAGCCGCCGCCCGCTGCCCCTGCGGGCGCTATGAGGAGCCGCGCCGGAGCCGTCGCCTCATCCCCGCACTGAGGAGCCGGAGCGAGCGAGGACGCCCGACCGCTTCACTCCCCCACTCCGCCCGCTGAGGATCCCACCGCCCGCGCCGGATCCTCTTCCAAGCTCGCGGAGCAACGAGCAGACCCGGAGATCCTTGCGCCGGAGAAAATAGTCCCCATCGCTGCTGCCTCCCTAAGTGGAGAGGGGGGGAGAAGGCGAAAACCCGGCGAGGGAAGAAGAGGAGCTCGGCTGTAGCTTGCGCCCCATGTGACTGGCTCTCAGGGTGGGGGCAGCAAGGCCTAGCAACCCCCACTGTTTCCCAGGCCGCAGCAGGAGCAGCATCGGGGGGGCTCGTGTGCTGGGTGGAGGCAGCTGTTGGACCCAGTGGTGCTGCTGGGAAGGATGGTTTTATAAACGAGGAGTGAAGAAGCCCTGAGAAGAGAGATCCAGAGGGGGAGAGGGTTTCCCCTGGGGGGGGAGGGGGGCTGGAATTTAATGTTGCATTTTGTATCCCTCTCCACCTGAGAGAGAGGCACGCACACCAACCACCAGGAAGAAGAGAAGGCGAAAGGAAGAAAGGAGGAGAGGTGATCAGAGGGAGAGAGAGAGAGACCATGTCAGGGCGGCCCAGAACCACCTCCTTTGCAGAGAGCTGCAAACCAGTGCAGCAGCCTTCAGCATTTGGCAGCATGAAAGTTAGCAGTGAGTATTGATTTCGCACCCACACCCCGTGCAGATTAAACATCGGGTTTTTAAAAGAGAATTTGCACTGTTGTTTGTCAGTAAACATAATTGTGTGAGGGATTCTGGGCTGGTCAGTGGAAGATGATCTAGACTGTCTCTAGCACTGGATGAAACAGCTCCCTTTCCCTCCCCCTCATTAACCTTGAATAGGCACACACCATGGTTTCCATTTGGGCCTGTTTAACAAAAAATATTTGTTTGGTGCTCCTTTCTGCCTCTTATCTATAACAATATTGTTGTTAGTTTGACCAGCTAGTTAAAGGGAATATTTCTGTTGCAATTTGGTTTTAAAGAGCTATGTGCTGCATTTCTGTCTATGGAGCAATGGAGGGAAGGAAATGAATTACATGCACATGTGATCATTTCACATATTTGTACAGTTATATGCTTCTAAACATTTTCTGTTGTGTGATACATTGAAAAGTGGAATGTTTGCTATAAGTATGCACCCACAACTGGTGTGTGAACACTTTTTTTTTGTGCAAGCTTAGCAGGAGGCTTAGAAAAGTCTACTTCCATAATATCTTGTGTTTCCGGCTCTGTTAAATGTGCTGTGAAAAAAAAATTCTTGAATATGATGTATGTGAACACATTGAACTGTTAGTGAAAAAGAACATCCTGTATTTCTATCTTTCAGGAATTGAATTTTTTTTTTTTTAAGGATGAGGCCTATGGCCCCATTCTAAACAGTAGTATTACATGTATATTGTAAATTGGGTAAGTGGTTTACTATGTGCTCATCCTTGATCTCCCAGTTTATGGCATTGGGATTTTGAGGCGAATTAGAAATATATATTTAAACCTATTAATAAAAAAGATAAAGTGTTGGAGGAAAAAGACCCTGTTGTGTGTTTCTAAAGATCAGTTACATATTTATAATCTGGAATTTGTTGATTCTTGGTTTAAATATATTCATATGCAAAGGTAACATGATCTTGCTCATCTATGTGAATAATTTTCATTCAAAGGCACTTCAGGTCCACTCTTGTAGAAATCTGGATGGCTTTATAAAAGGACCGTGACGGTCTGATATACATCACTATTATTTAAACCGATCACTTTGAGACTTGCATTTTGATACTTACACCTGGCAAAGCTGTGTTTATATCATATTACTTTATTGTACATGTGGAGTTGTAGTTCACTCCAAAGCTTTAGGTAATTGTGAGCTTTCAAACATTTGTCAGAAATTCTTGCATTTTCTAGTCTAAGATGCCTTCCACTGTGGTTGGAGCTTTGAAGAAAATATTGGGTTTATGGTCTGAAGTCTACCCTGTCATGTCTGTGTGATCAGAGTACCTGCAGTACTTATGAACAGAGTAGTTAGCCCATATTAGCAACATGAGACTGTACAGTTGATTAGATATAGCAATAACACATTTCACTCTCCATTTATATGGAGAATATTGTGTGACTCCATTTTATTCTCATTCATTCTCCTTATATGAGAGTAGCAGAGGAAGCAGGAGGTGTTAATCAATATTTCTGCATGTGACTATGTGTAAAATTGACCCAGATCTAGAGCTGTCATGATCAGAAACTAAAATGGTCTTACCTACGCTTTTCCTCTTAATTTTTGAAGGTTTGGTTTGGGTCTCTCTTCCTATTTGAGGTCAAAATCTAGGAAGATGCATGCCCATAAATTGGTGTAGGCTAGCAAATACGATTGCTTCCCCATTGTGTTATACATTTGGTATTTAAAGGCCTTAACATAAAGTGCCCACAGTGGTGATACCCCTCTTTCCCCCCCCCCCCCCCCCCCCTTGTGATCATGTCCTGTTGGTGTCTTTAAAAGGATATATAATCAGAGCAACAGAAGCAGAGGCAAGGACTGTGTGGAGTAGGAGACAGTGTCTGTTTTGGAGGACAGCAAGACTGCTGTATGCCGAAAAGGGTAACTTCTAATGAGCATCAGAATTTTGGTGGCCTCTTTTTGGGTATGACGAAGCAAGATTCAAATAATCAGAGTCCAGGTCTTGGAAAAGTAGGCTTTACTTTTTTAAATGATGTTTCTAGCCATTTTGGTTGTGAAAAAAAATTCCTGTATATGACCAGGTGTATATTGATGCAGTGCTGTTTCTGAAGTCTGCAGGCAGCTCTGGTGCCTCTGCCACTGATCAGAGCTTCCTAAACTGTAGCAGAGTGAAAACTGGATCTATTTTGTGTCTGTTTCACTGCTTCTATTCGTAATTCTGTGAGTAGTAATGAAACTGAATGACCAAGTAAATCTTGCTCTGTTGCTGCTGTGGAAAGCCAGGAGGAGCAGCAGCAGTCGGGCACTGTAACTAGTTTGTAGGAAGAGAGAACTCCAAAAGTGGTGGAGGCTGTGGGAGGGCAGAGTAGCAAGGACTCTACATACCATCACAGCATCCAGGAGGATCAGAGGTGGAAACATAGTGAATGCTCCTTCAGTTCAATAGCAGGGAGTATATGTGCTTTTCCCCTAAATTTATCAGATGCTCACTCACTGCAGGCTGATTTGAAAGGATGAATCTTGAAGCTGGATCCAGGGACTGGCATAAGATTCCCAGCCCCAGTAAAGGGAACTTGTCATTTGTGCTTCACCCTGGACAAAACATGCTGCCCACTTCTCTGGGATAACAGTTGTAGGGATTGTGGTGTCCCAGTATTCTTTCACCAGAGGTAGAAATAGTAGATGTTGCCTTGTCAGTGTTAAGAGCATCTTCCAAGATCCACTAGATGTTTTTTTGTTTTGATTTTGAGAGCACTTATGCTCCCCTCAATTGTGTATTTTTAAATTTTAGTTAACGTCAAGTGCCTTCCTCTGTGTTTACAGTTCTGTAATATTGGGTTTGCAAACTTCTTCTGTGCAAAAAACATTTTTTGTGTGTTCCTTAAAAAGACATACTGGTTGGGCCTGTACTAGTTCCTAGGAATGAATTGAGGGCAATATAAAAAATATTAGATGTATTTATCATTTTGAAAAGTCTAGCTGTGATCTTAATCACATTTAAAAGATAAATGTTAGTTGGATTTGTAAGTTTATATTTAAACATTCAACTAATAACTTCTGGGTTGCTGTTTAAATTTGATGCTTGCCAGTAAAATCTGCTGAAATTGAGGTATGGAGCTTACCATGGCTTAGTGCTGCACCCTAGTTGTTTTATACTTGGAAATGATGTACAACTGGAAGCAAACGGGAGAAATTGTCCTGAAAATGAAGTGTGGTCTTGCAACACACAACAAAAAAATGCACCTCTTCATAAAAATACAAGTCTTCAATGGGAAAACTCACAACTTGCAAACTTAAACAGTAAACTTTAATGACCTGTGAAACTGACTGCTGTTGATTATGAAAGACAGTGTTTTAAAGAACATTTAGGACTTGCTACACTTAAAAATACTTTTAATACTGCTGTCTTCAAACTGTTACTTTGTCTCTGCCCGCAGCCCTTCATAACAGGCTAATTCTTCTCAAGGGGTCTAATAAACTTTTCACTGCATGTGTAAATGTCATATACATGCAATAGAATTACTTGTAATTTTTCATAAAAACAATTTTAGTGAATGCTGTACAGCTACTCACCTTAGGTTAAATGCCCAAATCTAGCTATTTTCTTGCATAATGTGTGTAAGTTCATGGCCTCTTGAATTTTCATAATTTAGACTATGTAGCAATTAATTCTGTGACTTGCTGAAAGAATTTTGCCCCAACAGCAAACTTGCCTTTGTTCAAGTTCATTATTTCAACTACTTACTTAAACGTAGTGGGTTTTTTCATATGAAAGGATCCAAAAGTGCACAAGAAGCTCTAATATGTGTGAGTACATATTACTCCAGTGCTGAAATGCAGTCATGTATAAAGTGGAATATAGCAGCAGCTTGACAGTTGCACAGCCTATTAGTTTAGGATAGTAATGGTATCAAAATAAATCTGTACAAAAGGTTTTTGGGTAGGAGGCAACAACTTGGTGAAAAGCTTACGATAAATGACACCCCTCTTCTCCCCCCCCCCCCCCCAAAAAAGCTATCCTAGCTGAAAAGAAATGATCTTCTCTCTCCAGATGCTCCTGGCTGCTGAGAGTTGTGTGGGTTTTAGCAACCCTATCCCTTGTCCAGATTTTTGGCTACTTCTGGGAGGGGGAGTTTCCTCTACACAAAAATTGGAAAAAATTACTTGACTCCATACCAGGGTGAAAAATGCCTTTGTATTGTCATGCCCCAAATCCACACTCCTGCAGTTTCAAAAAGGGAATATAACAGCTGTGTGGTGTATCTACATCCCCAATCAATTTCGTATTTATACTTTTAAAAAGAATGTTACTAGGGCTAGTTGAGTAGAACAGAAATTTATCTCTTAGTTAATAAAATAAAGATTTATCAGTCTTCATGAATGCCAGTGAAATTTGTCAAATAACTGCCGAACACAATTCAACCAATCCTTTTTTCTTCATCTCCTGCCCCTGATACACCTTCTTTCCCTTTCCAGCTTCACTGGTTTGGTTGGTTGGGGTTGTTTTCTTCCTTGTGATATATATCATGGTGTATCTTTTCCTGAGGTCTCTTTTTGTTGTTGTTGTTGTTCTTTTCTCTGCCTTAGCTTCCCTGATGGATGTTCACACTTTTCCCCTGTCTCATTGCATATTTTCCCCCACCCACGCAATATATCCTCTTGATACTGTATTTTCCCATCATCCCATCAATCTTGTCCTCTTTCTCTCCCACCCACCATTAGATGACCTCACATACCAGTGTGTGAACCCACACATTGAACTTAGAAACTTTACCTGTCTACATTCTGCCTGGTTCTACTTAGTGATGCTGTTTCCTTGCCTTTAATTAGGAGGTCACAGGATGTGCTACAATATCATTCCTGCACCCGTGGTGGTGGTTATGGGTTCTGCAGAACTTAAGATTTCTTTTTTCAAACTAACATCTGTAGTCCATATTGATGAAGAAAGCCTTTGAAAATGTAAACTGTTACAGGACTTAGGGAT